CAGCAGGAAGAGAGCGCAAGCAGCAGAGCTGATCCCTCTGGAGGGGAGGTGGCAGGGCCAGAGTAACCACCCTGACTTCATTCATGCAAAGCAGAAATCGGCCAGATAACCTTCCCGATACTGAGTTTGTTATGAAATTACAGCCCTGATCTTGCATAAAACTGCAAGCGAGCCAGTACCTTTCACTGGGCGCTGAGCTGGGAACGGCCTCGCCAGAAGGCACGTGCTACACGCTCGGCAAGAACGAGAGCAGAGTCTCCAAAGCTGCTTCAGTTGCACAGGACAAGAGAATACCCTACCACACAGACAGCGCACAGCAAAGGCGTTTTACTGAACGCCCACACAAGCACCCGGAGAAACTGTGTTGAATTTCATACCTTAATACAGAAGACAGTGCGACCTAGCAGTTAAAGGCAATTGCCAGTGCAGACAGTGGTACGCTGCGGTCTCGGGCAGGCAACTGTCAGTTGGCTTTACTCCTTCAGGAGAAGAAAAAAAAAAAAAAAAAAAAAATCATCAGGAATAATGCCTACTTTTACAAAAGCATGGAGTTTCTGTACCTAACAGCGCTGCTAAGAGTTCTCTGTCCAGTAGCAGGCCACATTAGTTTGCGCACAGAGAGACCGGAGATACACGCAGACTGTATTTAACGTGGGGCAGGGCTTTGGGAGCGCACATAAATACACCAGAGGCTGGTATCGGGAACCCACCAGAAGCACGGCACGGCACCAGAAACCATGCTACGGAACGGAGAACCAACCTCCCCGCAGTGCGGCACCAAGTCAAAAACAAGGCTGCAAATATTAGAGCACCACTGGGAAAAAAAAAAAAAAAAATAGCAGAGGACTAGTTTTTTTAGAAAGGTAAAGCAAACAAAATAATCTGAAATGTTGTTTGTACTGGTTATTTTACCTTCCTTTCTTCTTTGAATGAAAGAGCAAAAGGGTCACACGATATTTGGTGTTCCAACAGTTAAACATTATTAAATAGTGGCTCTTTGCAGTGCAATTTTGGCAGGCAAGAAGTAGAGGAAGAAAATTCCCAGACAAATAACAACAAGTGTCTGAGATGAATCGTGCTGCCTCTCCAGCTCCTAAATTAAACACCCAGCAGAAATGGAAAAGCTCTTTTAAGTGAAGTGTGTTCAAGTTAGTCAAGTCTACTTCACACGATAAAACAGTTGGCACATACCTAAGCAATACTGCGTATCGTGTACTTCACCTTACCAACTTTGATCTCAACCAACCTAGCCTAAAGTTGAGGTTACGCATTGCAGCTTTATAAATTTAAAAGAAATTACAAGCTATGCACCTCGCAGCGCATTTCCCAGTCCCACCATACGTGCATTTTACTTGCTTCCCTTTAACAGTAGCCTTAACAAGGATAATGAGGGGAAAAAAAGTGATACCAAACTCACCTTACCGACATTACATAGTCTGTCTTGAAGAGTTGCGCGCTTGCACTTATATAGCAAAAAAAAAAAAAAAGAAATCCAGTGAGAAACATTAAGGTGGTGCCTTGCTGTCCGAGGCAGGAGGCGTCTCACCCAGACTTGCACCATACGGGAATGAGATTTCACAACCATGGTGATATCAGGTACTCACAAAACAAAAGTACTCGTCACATAGCCTGAATGTATAGAATGCACACAGCATACGGTACGTTAATATGTCAAAGTTGAAATCGGACAAAAGTATTTTCAGGCTCGTAGGCACCGTTCTGGCATCAGCAGTGTTAACTGAGCAATAGGCTCAACTGATTCAGAAAGTGGTTCAAATATTTCAAAAATCCAATGATCGTTTAGCGCCCAGGCTCCCATCGCAGAGACCACCTGGGACTGCTGTCCCCAACAGCTCACGAAAGCAAGAGGGGCATTGCCAGAGGGGTCTGACCAGCGTTTGCCTTGGTTTGCCCATTCCTCTTATTTTCCATTTTAGACAGGAGAAATTCTGATCACACAACATAAGCGTTTGCTGCTCTGGAGCACGAGCACACACAAAATGTCTGTTAAGACACTATGGATTAAACAGACATTCAGCCTGGGGAATTATTATTATATTTTTTTTTTAATGTTAGTCCTTAATATTTTGAATTATTTATAAATAATTCTGCATTAAATTAAGAGTTTCTATAGAAAAAGTCCTATGAGTGCCCTCGCATTTTCTCATCCTTCTGATAGCCACGCCATTTAACTGGCTGAAAAAGCTAAATTGGGTGCTTGCTATTAACCTCCTGGCTACAGCAGGACCCAGGCAGCAGCTGGAGCAGGCAGCCGTCATATGATCCTGCGCTCACACACAGATGCTGCAGCACATTTAGGGCAAAGTTATGCTTTAATTTTAATGCAGCCTAAAGTGTTGCGCGTTTCCTTGCTCTTCTGCTGCATTCTAAGGCTCAAACCACCACCATGCTGCTAGAAGGGAAGAGGGAAAGGCAGAAAGAATGGTTCAAGGCACAGCAGGACGGCAGTGGGTACAACCTAGAAAACCGCGAATGACAAACTCGAGTTATTCACAGGGACCTGTGATGGTTTTAAAGTGGAGTGAAAGGCCGTACCAGTCTGTAACTGGGCACGTCTTCCGCAAACTTTATTATTCTGGGCAGAAAAGTCAAATAAAGGTACTGCTTTTGGGGGGCTGCAGGGTTGTTTTTCTACAGGAATTATCCTAATATTCAGTGCTCCCATTGCTTTCTTTACTCACTTTTATAAGTTTAATTATCAAATGGCATCTTGCACAAATTAAAGATAATTCCTTTCACAGAAACAAGCATAAGCCTTTTGCTTCCCGAGATCAGCAGATCTCGCTTAAATGAAGCACATCCTGTGCTGCTCAACAGGCAGACAGCGTGGTCTAATCAGGCCTGTCTCTTTTTTTTTTTGTTGTTGTTTTTTAATGATCCTGTATTATAAACATGCAAATCTATACCCTTCTGGGTCACCTTCATTGAATGAAAAAAGACAACTTGAAGTGACCTGGTTTGATTTATCAGGAAGTGACCAAATAGCAGAGCAAGTTATAAACAGACAACCGAAAAAGAAATCCCCCCAGCGAGACCTCAGCATGTAGAATATCTTCAGGTTCTGAGCACAAACCAAAAAAAAAAAACCTTCCTGTAACTCCCGGGAAGCTTTGGCAGGTATCCTGAAGTTTGAGCTTGCTGCCAGTGCCCCTTGGAACAGTTGCTGCGTTTTTTGACCCTCTGAAACACAAGGTAAACCGTCTTCTTTATCAAAATGTAATAATTAAAGAGTTTTAAGTTTGCAACCATGCAAATTTAATTCACTTACAACATGGGCAGATCGCTAAGCCCTGAAATTAAGAAACCACTTCATATGCCCACACTATTAAAGTACAGATGTCACGCTACATTATATAAATGTGAGATACTAGTCCGATTAAAAAAAAAAAAAAAACCCAACCCACAAACCAACAACCCAAACAAACCCAAATACACTGGCTTGAAAGGTGACCTCCTGCAGGCATCCACCACCCTCCCAGCGAGGCGCCCGCGCATCCTCCTCCTCTTCCAGCCACCGAGGTGCTCAACCCAGGGATGGCAACTTCCCACAATAAACTTGTCCTTTAAACCTTCACCACTCGCACTGCCAGTTCCGTTCATACAAGAAACGAGCACGGAAAACTCCCTTAAAAATATGAGCCTGCATTTCCAGCAGGTAAAACCACTCACAAAGCCCAGGGGACCTCCGGGGCACAGAACAGCCTAAAATGGGAGCCAAGGACCCTCCTTTCCCTTACAGTAGTGCAAGAAAAAGTCAGAAACTAGTGTAATTTGTTATTAAAACCCTTTACAGTGTTAGCAAAAGCTTTAGATTTTTCCTGCTGCTCTTGACCTAGAAAGATCAAGCAGCACCTATTCGTACACAGCTACAACCTCTTAAGCTTAAGCAATGAAATATGATAAACATTGGGTGTAACGAAGACCTCTGCAGGATTTCTTATTTCATCTTACGGTAGCTGCAGATCCCCTCGCCTTCTGCCACCCCTCAAAAGCACGTGGCAGCTGAATGCATCCTAATTTCAAGGCAAAAAAAATAATCTTAAAATGTCTCATTTTTGCTTAAAGATGCTAACAATGACCTTCACGCTCACAGTAAATCCCCTGATTCTGGCCGACAGCCTGCTACAGAAGTTAGTGCTATTCCACTGACACACTGGAGCCGCCACCATTACTAATAGAGGACTTACGGTGACGTTCCTCATTCTGCCCCTTTCTTGGATTGAAATTAGTATGACACGCCAGACACCACAGAAAGTTGAACAAGCTTTGCCCCAGACAGGGTGATGCTATTCACTAGTCTTAATTTAAATTAAAATACCCAAAATAATACTTGAAGGCTCTAACAATTCAAAGACCATCCAGGTATGAAGTTCAACCCCAAGATGCTGTCCTTCCTTAGCAGCCGGCACCGACGTGCAGATCAGGTTCATGTGCCAGGGCCCGCTTTCCTAACATCCCTACAAAAATAAGTAGCACAATGCAATTACCTCTAATTTTCAAGACTGTACTTTTAAGGTCAACACTTAGCAATCAGGGGGGAAAAAAAAAAAAAAAAAAAGAAAAAAAAAGGCTAAGAGCAGGACTGAGAACACTCGAGCCGTGTCACCTGGTTCACCCCTGAGAAGGCAAGGACGGTAATAGCAACGTTCAGCATCTCTCCGTCGGAGCGGAGGAGAAGGAATGCCTGCAATGCGATTTGACTCCTCGCTGAAAACTAACTTTAATTCTAAATCTCCAAACTATTCTCCATGTCCTCGATGCCCTCGGCCATTGGGAGCAGCTTCATTTTTCAACTTCAATTCTTTTTTTTTTTTTTTTTCTCAACCAACCTCCCTCCTCTCCTTCATGTCAACTCTTTCAGACTGATTATCCATTTTTAATAGTAACTGTTACAGAGTCCCATGTCATCTTACTGTTATGGTTTAAACATACTTTGAAAAACTCCTAATGTGTGTGATCCGACTTAATATGAACATCTTGTAAAAAAAACGAGTGCCACAGAATCGATCGATTGACCAACAGTCCACCACTTGGGAAGAAGCAACTTTTGCTGCGCCCCCGCTCGGGCGGCGGGAGCCGTGCAGGAGCCCGGCCCCGCCGGGGTTGGGGGTGTCACCGGGAGAGCCGAGAAAGCCCTTTGCGCTGGAAAACTTGGAAGCCAAGACCCGCTCCCGCCCCACCGCTGCGCCGGCCACCGCCGGGCCGGC